GGGGCGTTTAATTCCCGCCCACGTGTAGAAATCGAATATTCAAGCTGTTTATTCATTTTTCCACCCATGAACGAAAAACGAAAATTTAAGCTGAATTTTCGTTTTTCGTTTTTTGGAAAAAAAAAAAAAAAAAAAAAAAAAAAAAAAAAAATATTTTTTTTTTTTTTTTTTTTTTTTTTTTTCCTTCTGTCGACCCACTCACTGAAAGAACCATATATGGCTTGAGAGTCTAGGTTTCCAAACAGACTGTGGAATAGCAGTCAGTCAAGCAAAACACAAGCAGCCCATAGCAATGCCTCAGATCGACAGATATGTAAAAATAAACAGGAATTTTCCGACTTGTAAACGATTAGTTTCTGTTTTGTACACCTTGTCATGTTAATTATAATTAAAATGCATTTTGTTTTATTGACCACAATATAATTGCTATTTGTCTGAGAGGGGCACTTTTGAATAATTTAGAAAAAGGGCAGGGGCTTGAGCCCCCAAAGCCCCCCCTTCTGCACGTGCCTGTTGCTTTGTAATAAGATTTCGGCACAAATGCAATTCATTCACTTAGTGAGTGTAACCGTTTTTACAGCTCCGTGACACAACCCATCAAAAGGCTTATATAAACGCTGCAGAATAAGCCTAAAGTTATCAGAGGTGCAACAGCGCGTTCATATGTATGTTTTCGATGCAGGCGTAACTTTTAATGGCTGTGCATTTATTTGTGTTTTTAACTCTATGGGAGCGGAATGAAACCGTCTGAAACTGAAGCTGTCTGTGCTGTCTGTCTTCCCTGTTCCTCCTCAGCTCCTCAGCGCACCACGCCCACTTTTTTTAGCGTTTTTTATTTAGCGGTTTCATTACCCTTTAAGGGGGTCACATTTGAGTGACTTTTGACATTGGAGTTCATAGCACTATGAAAATGTGCAATAATTTTCAGAACTCAACTTCCTCCCCTATCCAAAAAAATTTTGGCATTTTTTTTAACTACTCTACACAAAATGCAAAAATTCTATCTAATTTTCACATACAATTTGTCTGTTCGGACAATTGACCAATGCAGAAAAAAGCTGACTAGCTAAATGCAAATTCAGCCTCTGACAGTAGGTGGCGATTATAGAAAAGTAGAAATACCCCTGTTAGCATGCTACACAAAGTGCTGCGCAACTTTGTTTCTTTTCACAGAGAAGAAAGGAAATCAAACAGTATTGCGTTTTGAATGTTTTCTTATAATTATTCTTCCTGAATGGGAGTCAATGGCAGCCCTACGAAGGGAACATATATGAAAATGATGAAATTTGGCACACTTGTAGTGATGGTCATGAATGGTGATCTGACCAACTTTGGAGTCTGTAGGACTAACTCTATAGTGCCGCCAGCAGTTTAAAAATTCAACATTTAAATGATTATAACATTTGAACCCTTTGTTCTAGAAAAATGAAACTTGCTCTCCTCATGCTGATCACATTCAATAGCTAACATTAAGACTCCGCCCATTACAGTAGTGGCCATTTTGAGAAGCATTTCGTTTTTTTCGCTACTCCTCCCTAATAATTTGTCCAATTCTTACGAAAATGTGCATATATGATCTTTGGGCTGAGCCGCACAGAAATGACTGAACAGATTTTTGATATTCATTCACATTTGGCTTTGTCTGACAGCTATTCAGGCATTTGTTTTGAAATATTCATCGCACCAACAAAATTAAAATGTTTATTGCACCAAACATTCGTCTTTGTGTGAACAGGCCCTATTCATGTCCCAAGTAATGTGCCCTGCCCATTGGGATTATTACTTAGGATGGTTGTGAAAAGTGAAGTACAGCTGTTTTTGGCGCAAAACATTTTACGTAAGTTGACTTCAGGGACATAATGAATGCGTATAAACCCTATAATTGTATGATCTTGCTGAGGGGTAAATTTCCTCTTGATTACCAATCATTTTCTTTTGTCATTTTTCTCTCCAGTTTTTAAATAAGCAGTTTGTTTTGGAGAGCATATACAGTACTGGCGATAAGGAACAAAGAGAGGAATGGAGTGTGGAGACGGAGGTAAGCTGCTCTAGAAATTGTATTGTTTGTGTTGGTGCTGGGGCTGTTTGAGTTTTATTCCTCCAACAGAGAATTGAATTCCTCCACGGGTCCTTCCATGAATGGGAAGCTCAGTAGGCCCTAATATGTTTTTCATTCAATATTTGTTCATTCTGAAATGTACATGTATATATGTGTACATGTGTATATGTATATATGTACAAATGTATGTACTCTGTAAGTGTATTTTGTCACATATTGCATATAGTAAAAGTAGGATTCTTTATAATAGCTTGTTTTTGCAGTCAGGACTTTGGAGACTCCAAAAAGCCACTAAAATATCTCTTTGCCTCCCTTTTGTTTAATAAAAGTAACTTTTGAAAGGAAAATGCTGGATTAATTTTTTTTTTTTTTTCAGTGTTTGTGGAATCAAATAAAATTTACAATAGGTATCTGAAGCACCCAGGACCCGAGTTATACACTTTCAAATACAGGATTCAAAGAAAAAAAGAACACAAGCACGTATTTTTGGTGTTTATTTTAATATTTTGAATACGTACAATAATATTTATTACATTTCACATTTGGTTTCATTTTCTAAAAGAATGGCACCGATATTTTGCATTTAGTTCACTCATGTGGGTAAGGGCATCGATCAGATTTAGGCCCCGTCCACACGGAGACGCGTTTAGCTGTATACGCATAAATTTTGTATCGTATAGGCGTTTCGTCCACACGGATTCGGCGTTTTGGGAGAGTGAAACCGGGTCCAAGAGTGGATAAATCTGAAAACGCCGCCCTTGCGTTTTCGTGTGGACAGCGAATCCGTATAATTTCTGAAACGATGACGTCATCAGCCCACGTCTCGCCCCTAGACACCGCTACGTCACGTAACAGCAACAAAAACATGAACAAACACTGAACGATTGTCTTTTTATTAACTAACATTAAGACGAGGGGAAAAAAAAGATCGGATAGGGAAAGCTCTGGCTTCGTGTGGACGTAGCCTTAGATGTGGAAATCCACAAAAAAAACAAAGAGTTTAAGGGGTGCACCTGACAAGAGATCAGAGACAATTCCTTCATCCAGAATCTCTCCAGACCCTTCAGATTCCCAGCTCCATGATGATGCTTCTCCTCTTCAGTTCACCACATTCATTTTCTATAGGGTTCAGCTCACATCAAAAATACAGCAGTATATTTCATTGTACACATGGGGTACTTTTTATCCCTGTGTGCACCAAACTCATCTTGAGTGTTTGTTGCTAAAAAGCTAATTTTTTAGTTACATCGGACCATAGAAGCCTGACCGTGCATTAGGACGATATAGACACACCTCCTCTTCCAGGCAGATTTGTAACATTTTCTGTTGATTGACGTGTGTGCTGCATAATAAAGAGTGCGCGCCTCTCACTCTGCGCTGGTTGCTATCTGATCGCGTCATATCATTGTTCGGTACAATTTATTCGGTCTTTTCGCTTATTCGGCCAAACACCGAAAGAGCTTTTTTTGCTATTTTCGGGCCGAATAATTTCGGTTGCCGAACATTCGGTGCATCCCTAATCTGGATCCATTACCAGTGTCTCATTTTATAAATCAAAATACATCGCTGAGAAAATGGATGCTAAATAACTACAAAAAGACTGTACAAAACCGTGCAGCACCAAAAGTTGCAATAATGGTAATCAGTATTCAATTCACTT